CAATCCCACTTCAGCAGCCAAACACCCCTTCCAAATCCACCACAACAACTTCAACTCCCCATCCCTCCAGCAGCAAGCAGTTGTTGCTGTGGACCCCCGGGTTCTGCAGGGGCACAGGGACAAGGACACAGCTCCTTCTTAGGCAGGACACACCCTCCCTGCTCCACTGCAAGCCAGGATCAGCTCTTCAAATTCCCCATACACCCCCATTTGGAGCGTGATAAACACACACCCCCTCGCAGACGTGGGGCGATTTGTGCCCTGCTGTGAGAGGAGGGGGCTCTGTGGTGAGACAGGAACACATCCCCGTGTAGTGAAGTTTGCCAGTTCTCTGCCTCAGCCCAGCACCACCCAGAGCCCTTGGTTCTGCAGCTGTTTTCAACCCTTGTCCTGCAAGCATCAGACAGTCCTCACACACACACCATTTCATCGTCCTCCTCAGAGCAGCAGCAGATACTCTGGGGTGATTTTCACACTCCAGCTCTGAAGCGAGAGGCGAGTGTAGGCACCTCCCTGCCTCCCCGACAGAAACCAAGGAGCTGGGTATTTCTGTGTGTCACTGGGTAAAGCTCAGCTGAGCATTTCTGTGGGTTTCCAGCTTCACCACCCCGGCAGCAACGCTCCCTTTTCTCCCCAGAGCAGCCAGCACCACCCTGCTCCCAGAGACAGAGGCTGCCAACTGAAGCACAACTCCACAGGTCTCTCCATGTCTCCCAACCCAAGCACCACCAGCAGAAACCAGCCTTTTCACAGCCCCCCCCATTCCCCATACACCCCCATTTGGAGCGTGATAAACACACACCCCCTCGCAGACGTGGGGCGATTTGTGCCCTGCTGTGAGAGGAGGGGGCTCCGTGCCTCGTCAGGCAGCGTGGTGAGACAGGAACACATCCCCATGTAGTGAAGTTTGCCAGTTCTCTGCCTCAGCCCAGCACCACCCAGAGCCCTTGGTTCTGCAGCTGTTTTCACAGAATCACAGAATCTTCTAGGTTGGAAGGGACCTTAAAGATCATCTTGTCCACTGTGGTGAGACAGGAACACATCCCCGTGTAGTGAAGTTTGCCAGTTCTCTGCCTCAGCCCAGCACCACCCAGAGCCCTTGGTTCTGCAGCTGTTTTCAACCCTTGTCCTGCAAGCATCAGACAGTCCTCACACACACACCATTTCATCGTCCTCCTCAGAGCAGCAGCAGATACTCTGGGGTGATTTTCACACACCCTTGTCCTGCAAGCATCAGAAAGCCCTCACACACACACCATTTCAGCATCCTCCTCAGAGCAGCAGCAGATACTCTGGGGTGATTTTCACACTTCAGCTCTGAAGCGAGAGGCGAGTGTAGGCACCTCCCTGCCTCCCCGACAGAAACCAAGGAGCTGGGTATTTCTGTGTGTCACTGGGTAAAGCTCAGCTGAGCATTTCTGTGGGTGGGTGATTTTCACACTTCAGCTCTGAAGCGAGAGGCGAGTGTAGGCACCTCCCTGCCTCCCCGACAGAAACCGAGGAGCTGGGTATTTCTGTGTGTGTCACCGGGTAAAGCTCAGCTGAGCATTTCTGTGGGTTTCCAGCTTCACCACCCCGGCAGCAACGCTCCCTTTTCTCCCCAGAGCAGCCAGCACCACCCTGCTCCCAGAGACAGAGGCTGCCAACTGAAGCACAACTCCACAGGTCTCTCCATGTCTCCCAACCCAAGCACCACCAGCAGAAACCAGCCTTTTCACAGCCCCCCCTCAGCTGCTGTCAGAGCAGGGAAGGGCTGCTGCCTTTTCATCTGTTCTTGAGCTAAAATTCAAACTTTTTGAGATGTGATGTAACTGGGAGTCCACCTGCGGGCAGGTCTCTCCTTGCTGCAGCTTTCAAGCCTCGAGGGCAATGTCCTCTCTGATTTTAGGCCACGCACTGGCAGCTTCAATACCCTGCCTCAGCACCCACTCTGCCATTTCCAGTGCATTCCTGTAACTGCTCACCAGCTGGAACATATTCCAGTTTCATAATTGCAAGTCAGGCCCATAAATACTTAATGGGTATTTCTCAACCCATTTCTTTTAAAAACCTGTCCATTATTCCTGCTTGCAGCAAGTATTGCTTTTAAGTCCTTGGCCTCCTACAGACACACAAAAAAACCACCCACCGGCTTTGGCCATTTCCCTGAAGCTCGACCCAGTGTCATATTCTGGGAGGATTTTTATTCTGGTACCCCACAACTGGTACTTCCTCCCACCCCATCCCCAAGCTTCTATTCCTGCTTTTTCCCAGTGAATTTCTCATTGACAAAATCCTCATCTCCTTCACCTCCCCCATCCTCGCTTCCCTCAAAAACAACCCCTTCACAAGACACCCCCACCACCTGAAGTGTCTCTGCATCAACGATTCCTGTACCACACCTGACCCTCAAGATGAGAGGAACCCTGAAAAACCTCCCGTCTTACTCTGAAATACCCCCACATTAGATTAGAAAACTCCAACTTGATGCCCTGCTGAGAATTTTTAAAGTCTTCTCCATTGTATTCTAAGAGCATACAGGCAAAAAAGCCCAACGTTTAATGAAGTATAAAACTAATTATTATGAAATAAAACTAGCTGTTCACAAAGTGGAAAAACATCACATTTTCATGTCCTATTTTCCTTTAAAATGTATTCCCTTCCCATCCTCTAGCATACTTTGCAAATGTAAAAATAAATATTCTTCACAGCAGAGTGCTGGCTTGAAGGCTATGAGTCCAACAATAAAAAGCTTCACAATTTAATGGCCCTTAAATGCTCAACATCTTTTTCACTTAATGTAAAATCCATCTGATCTAATAGCTGTGACTGAATTACATGTATGTTTTTTTCTATTAAAGTTAATTTTCTGAGTTGGCAGAGCAACACAAGCTTTAGATTAAAAAAGCAGTAATCTCTATAAACTTTACAGGATTCAGGGATATTTCCGAGTCAGCTGCTCAAAACAAAAAAAAAAAGAAATCACATATTCACTTTAAGAAGTGCTATTCCGTACGAGGAGCGCTGTGCCAACAATCAGTTACAGGCTGCATTACCCTATTAATGGTACTTTACCCTTCCATGGAGCAGATCCCAAAGCACCTGGTGAAGCACCCCCAGACCTCTCAGGTGCATTTCATTTACATCAGACATTTTTGTGACCTCCCATTTCTTCCTTGCATTTATCAGCAGCATTTGCCCCTGAATGCAGAAATACATACAGCTGCCCTCACCAGGCAGGTGACACCCCACGGCTGATTTGACCAAACACCTGGAGTATCCCTGCCACAGGAACCTCACTGACACACAAACAGCCCAGACCAAACCTTCACCTTCATGAATCAACCGAGCCAAAACCCCCCAAACTTAAACAGAGCACTGCCAAGGGACTTGTTTCTTCCCTTTGAGCCCAGAGACATCCCTCTGCGTGCAGTATTTAAACAATCCACATCTATTGAAACCCAAGACGCCAAGCTCCCTTTCTAGCATGCTCTGATTTTAGGGTATCACCAACACCAAGGTAACAAAAGAGTCTGAGCTACAATCTATTACACGAAATATTGAATTGCTGTGTCCCCAAGGAAATTCAGATTTAGTTTATCATCTTTATTGTATTTTTTATCTTGCATTTATTTCTAAAGTTAGACCTTTTTTTCCCCAGGTAAGTACTTGAAAGCCCAGGGAGGACTTTTTCCCCCCCAAGAGCAAGCCTGCAGTTAAAACTGCCACCAAGCTGGCAAGAGCTCTGGGGCACTGCCCCTCCAAAAGGGAGACACTTTCTGACACGCAACTGGAATGTTACTGCAGACAATATGCAGTTGGGCTTGGTGGGTTTCCCTCCACCCTGGTATGGGTCAAGGAGGGCAATAATGGAGTGTCTTCACCCAGCAGCTCGTTACTGAAGATGCCTCAAGCTGTTTTTTAAGTGCATTTTAATCTTCCCCCCCCCTTTAAAACAAAGATGGCAAAAGTAAAAAACTCCAGCAGAAACAAAATACTTTGTCTACTAAGAAGCAAATTAGGATGTAAATATAATTGAAAAAGCTTTTCAATAATTAGGCTCACTCCGCAGAAAAAAAAGAACAAACATGGCTGGAGATCAAAATACCCTTGTATTACACCTGAGAAATACATAAAGCAATCAGAAAATTGTAAGTGGAAAGCACTTCACAATACCCCATAGATGAACTGGCTCAGTAAAGCTGACAGAACATATCTGCTGGCAGAAGAATGGTTTAGACATCAAATCTTGAAACAGTTCCTCTTCAGAAAAATCTCATGTATATTTTTATATATATATATACACATACACACACATACACTTTCTATTCCAAGGTCAAATTAGATCTTTACAAGAACCCTGAAGAAAACTTCTGCTGACTAACTCCAAATACAAGGAAGTCCTCCAAAGATCCAAGGAAGAAACCATCCTTCTGGTCATTGTTTAACCACAGTGAAGTTTCACTAATACTGTTCACACCCCAACAACTGAACAACCCAATTCATTTTCATGCCCCACTGGCTGGACAAGATATCCAAGTAACCAAAAATTAAGTTAATGGTGAAATTAGAGAGCCCTTCCCTTCCAAGTCACACCAAATGAATGGACTTTGGTAGCGCCAAGCAATGATTCTGCAGACATCACTCAGCATGAAATCAGGCTGCAGTGTAAGCCATTAACTGAATTTCTTCTCATTAAGAGCAGCAGCAGGACTTGGCTGGCTCACCCCAAACCTACCGCATGGCACAGCTTGCCCCGTGCAGTGCAGGGGTGGCCAGAGTCCATTTACTCTGAAGAATTAACTGGTAGGAGATTTGAGTCTTGATCAATGACACCAACATTTTACCAGCCATGAAATCCAGAAATAGAAGAACCCAATATTCCCAGTGGACACCTGAAAAATGAATGTGTGACCTGGGATTTGAGAGTATTCGAGCGAGTTCCACAGCCTCCACTACCCGCGCTATTTTGCCAAGCTATTTACATTTCTTTACCTTTTACAGAATTAACCACAACCATAAAAAGAAGAAAACTTTTTATTGATAAGGTAATATGGGAGAAATTTAGAAAAACACACATAGAACTCCCTCAGAAGGAAACATACAATATCAAAATATGCCAGAGTTAGTATATCAAAACAAGCTCTCTCTAACAAGAGTTTCAAGTAATGCAATCATAAAAGAATTTGGCTAAAAAGTAATGTATATATACTGAGATGTTTTCTGTAATAGTCCTCTAAGAAATTAAAGGAAAGCAGCAGAAGATCTGTTTAACTACAGACACATATTTAGTAAATATATTAAGTGTATTTATATAATAAAAACTGCCCTGCACATTCATCACTAGGTCTGTATCCTCCTCTATGTGGCAGTCGTCTCTCCAATTCTACAAGACTGCCCAAAAAGGAAAAAAAAAGGAAACAAACATAATACTACTAAGAAAAGGGAGACCTAAGCCTGAGGTACAGCTTAGGGGGAAGCCCAGGCAACTCCAGGCAGAGAACTCTGCACTCTGACTTAAGTCCTATTTTTCAGGAACATGGAAGGGGAAGTTTTCTGTGTCAGGATCCCAGATTCCTACTCACTAGTTATTAAATGCTTTACGACAGAGTAGCCTGAAGTTACCACAGCAACTGATAGCACTTCTGCTCCTTGCTCTACTACAACGGCCACATACGTTGTCAGACTCATTTCCCAATTACTTCCTTTGAATAGTCCCAAATTTTGTGTTTCCTTTCATAAAACTTACTTATAGGAACACCATCCTTCAAAGTGAAGCCCTGTCTCATTTAATAGGTAGATTCCAAGCAAATAAAAATTCTCATTTAATTAATCCTTACTATTTGCATCTTTCCCCATAAATAAGATTATAGTACATAATTTACAGTTAAGAGGAAAATACCTTGAACTTCCATGAGATAGTGTTTGAAAATCCAATACCTGAATTATCTAGTGTACAGCTTAATGAGCTGCTCAGCCTGCACCCATATTAGGCCTAATGAAGAATGAAATTATAAAGAAGCAGGACTATTGCATTTAGATCAAAATGCTGCTCTGCAAACCATGACACTCCACTCCCAGACACTACTTTAGCCCACAGTAATCAGCATTACAAAGCATTCCTGAAAAACCTTGGGGGAAGGGGAGACAAACAAAAGTTAGTGTTTTGATAGAAAAACCTGATTTTTAAGTCTTGCAAAAAAGCAAAGGCACTACATCTTAAGCTTATATTTAAATAAAGTCTGTAACTTGGCCAGCCAAGTTACAACATATACCTAAATACTTTCCATCTACCTTTGCAGCTGATTTACTAAGCGTGTCTTAGTGTGTCTTCATCAGCTTATGTGACAAAAACAGCCACTTTCTCTTAATCATTAAAGGAGATATACAGCTACAATACTTAGCCAAGCTCATTTGAATAGAGTTTATTTTCAACCATACCATGAGAGTCCGAGTTATAGGATAAACTGGAGTTTCTGGGTATAGACCTTGCTTTAATAAGTGGTCAATCAGACATAAAAATAATTTAACTACCATGTCATCATTTTGACAGTCAGCTTGTCTACCAATTTTAAAAGACGTTCTACATCTTTTATTAATCTAATGAGAGAGGTGTCAGATCTGAAACTCAGTAGCCCTATTTTTCAGTTTTCCACGAAGAAACTATTCCAGCTAAGTTGTTTCATATTTGGAGATTCTAATTGCAGCTATATCATACTTATATAAGTCTCCTGAAGGTTATCACTACCATCACCACAGCACTTCTACAAGACACAGCAGCCTTCAAGAGCAATGGCACTAAGCACATCAGCAAACGAGTCCCTGTCTCATGCGGATGATCTGTAGTAAAGCAGCTTGGACGTCTTCATCCATGTGACCCTAGAGCAAGCAAACGCTTAGTTAAATTAAAAATCCCATAAAGTGTCAACCATCCACCACTAATATTAGGAGACTCTTCAAAATTACCCAAAAGTGTTAATTCATTGCTGTATTTTCACTACTCTCTGGGAAAGTCTGCAATATTTCAGGAATCTTGTTCTTTTTCTCTCATGAGAAAGAAGGGTCACTAACACAGCAGTTTCCTTTATGAAAATACAATGTGGGGAAAAAAAAGCAACTGTTCCTATCCTCTGGCTCCACAGCTGCTGCTGTAGGAAGGGTCCCTCTTTTGCATTCTTGAGTATCTGAAGTCGTAAAACTTCATGAGAGCCACTGGCTCAGTCCTTTTTAAATTAAAACTCTCAACATGAAAACAGGTACTTGATGCTAGTTTGAGGTCTCCCAGCGAGGGAGTTCAAAACATGTCTCAAGGATCCCTACACTGAAATGACAGTAAAACAATCTGAACTGGGTACTCTCATACCTGTACAGCACTGAGGAGATGTGTCCGATACACTGAGACTACCTCTTGATGCTGCCTTTTAGCATCCTGTAACAGAAGGAAGAGGAGGTGAAGTCATCAAATTTTTAACATCTACTTTTGCTCATTTCCAGCTTTTGGGGCTTGGTTTTCTGCACTTCTAGACTAGCCAAAGCAGAAGTTCAAGGTTAAATTAGCTATATCCCCTCCTTAATCAAGAAAAAAGTCACCACTTTTTTTATTGCTTACTTGTAGCAAAGCAATGTTGCTGACTGGCTGTCAAGGAGGTGCTAAGATTAAACACTTGTTTCCTCAACAGCATTAGCTGTTTGTTATAAAACCACCCAATTTAAGAACACGTTGCCTTATAAGGGTTAGCTTTGCAAAGATTTATCCTGCTTCTGTACAGATTTACAAACAGCTAACTTGGCTCAGATACACAGCTTTAATTAAGAGCTTTATTGAAGGGGCCACAAACATGTTCATGCCCAAACTCCCAGCACTTCCCATAAAGCATTCCCCTTCACTGTTAGTGGTTAATAAGGAATACACTTCACAGTGTTTGCAGACAAGGAAACAGTCAAAGGGCCACCTCACTTTCAAAGTGAGAAGACACATGACTGGTGGTTTTTTGAAAGAAAATATTAACCTGGAACTTGCATACAGAAATGGGCATGGCATGAACTATAGCAGCGTATCTCATAAACACAAATTTTCTCTGCATCCTTTTTATCTGGAAAAATTCCCAGATGTTGTAACTGCAATGTGTAGAAGGGAGCAGACAAATTTCCAAAGCAGCAGTCACGGGAAAACAAAAATAATAATGAATTTATTCATTACTCTACTTTTGAAGTCAAAGTCTACAGCCAACCCCAGGGCTCCAGCAGCCACATTTGTATTTCCTTGGTCACACAAGGACTGTAAGTGATGCTACCCCATCTCAGCCAAGGCCTCGCAGGAGCACTTACCGCCAACTGCTGCTGCAGGCTTTTCACTTGGTTCTGCAGCGTTTCAACCTGCTGGTTCTGCCTCTTTGAGGGGATCCCGGTGGTGTATGTGAGCTGAGACAAGCCATTAAGAGCTTGTTTTAACCGCTCCACATCATTAAGCAGTTCTGTGATCTTTTAAGAAAAAGCACACAAAAACCTCATTTAAGGACGTCTCACCGAAAAATAATATTCTTTAACATTCTTTAAAGACTGATCAAAATTAGCAAGCACTGAAGGGTCTCTGTCCTAGCTTGCCATGACACTGCCTAAGAGACTTAAA